AAAAGATTACAAGGTATTAAAACCTAGGAATTGTTTTTTTTTTTTTGTTTTGTTTTGTTTTGTTTCAAAATTAAATGAAGGGTATGAATAAGAAACTGATATGGTGAGACAGTAATATTCATTATAACTTACCATCTAAATCTTAAATGTGAGAGTCATATAAGAGTTACCTCAAAGATGAAATTAGCAGCTGCATCTCTGAGCACTTTTCATCTTATTTGTACTTATTTCAGTGAGTTTTAGTAATACTTATATTTCTCAGACATCTTTTTATAGAACTGCAGACCATGTACTCTTGCTAAAGTGTTTTGGTTCTATACATATACAACCATATCCACTGGCTGAGTATGTATATTTGAAAAAAAAAAAAAATTCTTTATGGTGGCTACTTGATATTATATTCACATTATGATAATTTATTAAAAATTATCTTTCTTTTGAAAATATTTGCTAAAATAAGCTCGCTATGAGCCAGAAGTGCATGCTTGCAGCCCAAATGGCCAACTGCATCCTTGGCTGCACCAGCAGAAGAGTGGCCAGCAGGTGGAGGGAGGGGATTGTCCCTCCCTACTCTGCCCTTTTAAGGCCCCACTTGGAGTGCTTTGTCCAGGTCTGGGGCCCCCAGCACAAGAAGGGGGCTGATCTGTTAACCTGATCTGTTAAAGCAGGTCAAGAGGAGGACCACACAGATGATCAGAGGGCTAGAGGACTTGTACTATGAAGAAAGTAAGCTAAGAGAGCTGGAGATGTTCAGCCTGGAAAAAAAGGAGGCTCTGTGGGGACCTCTTTTTAGTACTTGAAGTGGGCTTATAAAAAAGATAGAGAACGAGTTTTTGATTGGGCAGATAATGTTATGACAGCGGGGAATGGTTTTAAACTAAAAGAGGTTTTAGTTTAGTTTAGTTTAGATTTAGGTTAGATATTATTAAGAAATTCTTCATTCAGAGGGTGGTGAAGAACTGGAACAGATTCCCCAGAGAAGCTGTGGATATCCCATCCCTGGAGGTGTTTGCAACCAGATTGGATGAAGCCCTGGGCAACCTGAACTAGTGGGTGGCATCCATGCCCATGGCAGTGGGGGTTGGAATTAGATGATCTTTAAGGTCCCTTCCAAGCCAAACCATTCTGTGATTCTATGAAATTCAGCCATGGACTTATCCAGAAGGTGTGAGACATTGTGTGTGTGTGCACACTTGTATTTGCATATATAGGAATATGTAAGTCAAGTAATGAGTACCTGCTACCATTAAAAATGTGGAACACATAACCATCATTATATCTTCTTTTGACTGGGAAGTTGGAAGGAACAATGATGTACAGACTGATTTATTTATGTATAAAAACATGCACTTGTGAATAAACTTTTTTTTGGTGTTCTGATGCTGCTTTGCAGAGCATAAATTACTTACTCTAAGTTGCAAAATGAGTTCTAGAAAATGCATGAAGTATTTCTCTGAATCCACATAAATTATGGCAGTAGTAACAATAATAATACTCTAGATGTATGAGGGTTATGACTCATAAGGATTGAAACCATGTTTTAATAAGCATTTTTGATTAAAGTTGTTTCTGTTCCTGGAGGGAGCCTTTGGGTGCCATTGTAATAAAAATTCACTTCTAAGTAACATTATGTAATTTTATGTATTTTTTTACTCTTTCTTTTGTGGGGTCCTTCCAGGGGACAGCTGTTTTGTTTGCAGCTCAGGCTGCCTATAAGATGAGGACTGATCAGGAAACATGCTAATTCAGCACATCCATTAGGCAGTGTAGTCCTATCTTCGCTTCAGAGCAACCCCATCGGGGTGGCTTTGTCTGAGTAGGTCAACAGCCATAAGTCTGTTGAATCTCCCATTTCCTCCCCCAACCAGAAATTTTTCTGGCCTTGGTATCCAAATGCCGGTAGAAACTGGAATCACAAAGTCACAACTCTAAATGTAAATATATATTACTGACATTTAATGGAGAGGAGCAATTAAGGTCCAAATTAACATTAAATGAAGTAATTTGCTTCAGTTATATATCAGGAAAATAATACCAAAATTTTCCAGAGCTCTGTTCTAAAACTTTCTCAAATTAAGGCAGTAATTTATCTCCCTTAAGTAAGGTCAGCTGGGTCCCAAATACATCTCCATCACTTCTCCTTTCTCTCAGCTCTCAGCTGCTTTGAAGAACAAATAGAGTGTTTGGAACAAACCAGGCTGCCGTCTGTAGGAAGTGTTTCCAGGCTCTTTTCCAGAAAAGGCGATGTTCCCTTCCATACCCTCTTCCTTATGTTAGCCTGGGAGGTTCTGATTAAAGAAATGTACTTTTAACAGGAGATAAGCAACAACATTTGCCCTCATCTCCTATACTGTTAACCTTTGTCATTCAAGGATTTTCAGTAGTTTAACTCCAGAGGCTTCTCTTTGCCCCTTGCTACTTTTAGGATTGGGGGTTATAATTCATCTGAGTCTGTTGCTTTGTCAACTTTAAATCATTCTAATTATCTACTCTAATGAAATGACAAAGCCCTCAACCACGCAGCTCTCCTTCTCCCTAAAGGAAATTCTATCTCATCTTCTGGGATGTTACCTTCTTTGTTTAAATATGAAGGTAGAAAAATTATTTAAGGCTGGGAATCACTGCTAGCTTTCCCTGTTTTCCCTGTGTTAAACACAATTTCCTTGTTTGTTGTTTGCTTTATATAATTGTAGTTACTTAGTAGCCTTTATTTACAAATTATTGTGTTCGTTAAACTTCCTTAAAAAGTAAATGGCAGCAGGGAGGTATGCAACACTTTAGATAAAATTTAAGAACACTTCCCAAATTAGGCAGCAAATTCAGATTTTACCAACACCAAATGTGACTCTCTATAGCAGTGAAACAAATTCATTCTGCATATTGACTCACTGAAGCATACTTTGTTTCTTCAAATTCACTTCATTATGAAAAGGATGGAATGAGGCGTCAATCTTGAAATTGTATTATGTGGGTTTCATTCACCTTATGCCAACAACAGAAGTGAACTTGGGCTTCTCCACCATCAATGCCTACTACAAATGTGCAGCTACTTTTTTTTTACAGCTTTTTTTTTTTTTTTTTTTTTTTTTTTTGTCCTTTACTTATGCTTCAGAAGTAGAAATAGGTGACTCCCTGCTAGTAATTTGGGAAAACGATTATAGGTATATATGTTTAGGAGAAAATCTTACAGAACAGTGTCTATATGGGCTGAGATAGCTGATTCGAAATGACAAGTCAGGCTTCAGATTTATGGCCAATTCCTAAAATTTTGTCTCCCAGTTGACTACCTCAGGATAGCTGCTCACTGAACAGGCTACATGATAAGTTTCCTGTCTAGTATACTAGCTCATTTGAAATTCTTTCTGAATTTCCAAAGTGCTACATGCTGTCTTTTTTTCCCAATTAATGTCTTTGGATATCCTCTTCTCTCAACTGGGTCCACGTGATACTGCTGTGCGACAGTGACAGCGCTATATCTAGCACAACTTCTTTCTCAGGAAGATACATCTCACCTATCAACACATTAATTCAGGGAAAGTACCTCCCTTCCACATAAGAAAATCACCACAGAGGTAGATCACCAAAATCACCACTTATTCCCTTGGAAGAAGACTGGAAACAGTAAGGGGCATGGAATATGATTCAGTTCCTTCCTCACTTAAAATTGTGTGGGTAGAAAAAGATCCCCCCAAAAAGTTGTATTTGAACAAAGAGAGTGAAAATGTGAGAGTATTCAGAGCAAAAGATCTGAGAGGAGGAAAAAGGGAAAGAGGGAAGCAAAAGGACAAGGCACTGAGGCTGTAAGGAATAATCAGCCTAGAGGAGCAAGAAAAAAAAACAAAACACCATTAATTCTAAAATATCCTCTTATATGGAGAAAACTATTTTAAATAATGGGTTTGAACTGTTGGAAATCAGATCAAAAAGTGCTAGGTGTGAGGTCTAACCAAATATGTAGACATGCTTTTCTGCAAGCAAATGGCTGTATATTGCCAGAATAAGGGAGTATCATACCTGTTCTCACCATTCTTCTAAAAGAAATTACTTCTTAAACTCTTAGGTTTTTGCTTTACTTGATTGAACTTTCCTCAAGATAAGAGATGGAAAGAAAAGATGAAAATATACCCACAGATTTCAGTTTCAGAGCCAGTGATTTTGAATTCAAGTTCTACAACAAAGCCCTGGGACATGTAATATCCAATGCCGAAATTGTTGCAGGTTGGGCAGCAAGAGCATTTGAGCTAAATCTAAATTATAAACTGTGTGACACATTGGAAGTGACATTCCTGACATTTGATTTTTATGACCTCATTTGTAATTCTGCCCAACGTCTTGTCCTGTTGTTCCCAAAGTTGTTTCATAGCTTTGAATTATCTTATACACGACTGTTTGAAAAGTGTGGCCATAAAGACAAATGAATGGCACAGCATTTTGTTGTCATTATAGAAATAAACAGAGCTCAATACTCTGAGAAGCTGACTGTAAGGCTAGTTTCTCATTTTCCCATTTGATTGCCACTGTGGGACTACAGCTATATTCAAAGGCAAAAGCAAAGAAACAGAATTAAGCCTCATGTGTGTGTAATGAAGATGCATGAGGAATGATTGAGCTTCAGTAAATGATCATGTGAAGTGCTATTTTAGTGCTTTTGGATCCATCAAGACAACTGCATAGGCTAGCATAAACAACACAGACAGATAAGCCTTTCTGGAGCAGTAACAATAAATCAGCTAGCATGTCCTAAAAAAACAGATGTTTAGGTGTTCAAAACACACCCTGGAAATCTTCCCCCTCACTAACTCCATGGAGGGTGGTCGGCATATTTACATTCTGTGCTGTAAGAATAATGCAACAAATAATATTTCTATTTGTTGGCACTGCCAGTATTATTAAACCTCATGACTTAATGATAGTTCATTCAGTCTCAGTTGTTTTTTTTTTTTTTTTTTTTTTTTTTTTTTCCAAAGGCAATTAAATACCCAAATCCGAATAAAGTTAAAGGCAAGGATAAATTTAGAGGAGCTGGCATCCAGAGCAGATAAATTGTTTAATAGTCTGAAGTGGCATCTAGACAGCGTTTGAGTATGACATGTATCTTAGAAGGCTAAATCATACAAATAAAAGAAGACTCTAATTCTGTACCTTAAGCTACCTCTGTGGGCTTGGGGAGTCCTAGATACAGATTTTTTCTCCCAGAACTGTTGGTATTTTACTGTCATTAGATATGTATATACACACGCCTAGGAAATTAGGAGAGGTTCTGGATTCTGTTCTTGGCATCATGCACTGAAACATGTCATTATGATGTAAATTCTTTATTTGAATGACAGGTTCCTTTGAAAGTCCTGAACTGCTGTCATAAAGGTAATTCTGCATTATATTTATTCATATCATTAGTTTTGGAAGAGAATGTGTTTATTTTAATTTTCATTCATATAGAATTTCAAAGGGGAAGAAATTGTGGGATTAAGATTATCCCATCAGGAAAAGCAATCATACATGTAATAGCCAGCCACGATTGACCACACATCATGATGGCTCTATAAAGAAGGAGAAAAAAAAAAGAAAAGAATTTCAGCCAGTTGGGAAGCTGTCCCAGACACTGATGAAGAGATAATAATTAATGATAGGATTTCTATTCATTTATTTATTTAGAGACAGATGCATTACTAATTTTAACCTCAAAAGGACATTTCAGCCTTGCAAATTGTACAGATTTTTGGATGGCACTTTTTAGATATCTCCATAAGGAATGTGGACTTTGCTATTGGCCTTTTGTTTTTTTCAAGGGTCCTTTCAGTCTAAAGGAACTCCCCTCCCTGTTTCACTTTCTACTCAGCTGAAAATATGAAATCTGTGGGTCATATTTTGATGTCCTATAAGCTTATTTACCTCAGTAACTATTCATCACTCAGAGCAAAAGATAAAAATTTGACCTAGTTGATTTCACTGGGATCAGGGATTTGCTCAAGCATTTTCTAATCCAGGCTTGAAAAAGTCCTTGTCATGTATGTCAAATCTAAAACCTTGTATCCCTTTCTTGCTCTACATGACAGTCCTTTTGTCTGTGAAAAGAGGATACTGGTGCATACTGGTGCAGCTTATTGCCAGTATTTAGACGCTATTTTAATAGCCTTTTTTTTTTTTTTTTTCCCCACTATTGATTTATTTTCTCTCTTACATATTACCAAAGAATGTAAAAGGCTGCCCCCTGAAGTCATTGATGGATATGTTGATTGTCTTTGGACGGAGTCCTGCAAGTTTCCTGTTAGAAACATTTTGACACCCTGTTATCTTCCTGAGTTGATCAGACACCTGCTGCTACCCCACCTGCCTTCTTGGCAACAAGAAATGCCTGTCTGCCTCGCTTTCCTAGTTCCTTCCCCACCTCCTCTCTCACTGTGTAAGCATCAACAGGTGGGATTAATTGTGAGGAAGGATGTTGTGCCAATGCCTTGTTGCTGGCATAGAAGCAGGGACTCCTGTAGAGAGGACAGCACATGAGGGTTTAAGAAGGCTGCTCTGCAGAAGTCAGTGCTGTCTGGCACCCATGCCTTACTAGAAGGGTCCAACCAACTTTGGAGCAGGCAGGGTGCCATCCTGACAGATGGATGGAAAGGGAGCCAAGGCACCAGGTAGTTATGCAGCAAGTGTGTTTGCTGAGGGTTTGATTGTCAGCCAGTAATGTCTAAATGACTGTTTGTCTTGAATTTATACGTGTTTGTTTAAAGGAATGCATGAAAACTAATCTAGAGCTCCATTATATTATCTTAGGAAAAAAGGAAGAACTGCTGAAGTAGAGCAAGAAGGTAGTTTGTAGGCATAGTTGTATCCTAGCGATGGGTATCTTCAAGTGCTTTAGTTTGCAGTGACAATATTTTCTACAGCCTGCTTTGTCAAAGGAGCAGTCTTCTAATACTGCTGATGAGTACTGACAGTTTTCTTGCACTGTAGGTGGCAGAAGCTTGTTAGATACAAACTTCAAAATATTTTCAGGGTCAGTCCAGCATTCTGTCTACCAGTCAAATTTTTCTTCTGAGCTGGTTGAGCTTCTGAAATTTGTTATATTTCAACATATTTGAGTGCATTTTGAGATCAAAACCAAATGTAGATATGCAAAAGAATACAAAGAACAGTATTTAAATCCATTAATCTGCTGATATTTTAAATAAATAACTTAAAAAGTATCTTCTATTGTGTGAAGGTTTGGATCAGTACTTAAATTATCTGCATTAATTTGCCTTTCTCAAGCAGTCATTGCTTTTCGAGAGCATATTGGTAGCAATGGCACATGTTTGCAGCTAGCCTCCTTATTATAGGAAACTAGATATTATTTATTATAGGAAACTTTGACATAAACATTTGAATTAATTGTTGACATCTCAGTGGTACAGATTGCCAAGACTCTGTGGATGAGATCCAGCCTTAATACCGTATGCAATACCAGACTCATATTAGTCTAGTAGTCAGGTCACTGAAATACTCCATTGCACTCTGTGTAGCCGTAAATATGCAAGACTGTTTTCTATGTTATAGAGCTGTGCTAGTCATGAGCATATCAAGAGCTGAAAGGTTATGCCATTGTAGCACTTTCATATTTTGCATCCTATTGTTGCTTGACACCTGATTGTAATAGTATTATCATATTACAATTATCGTGTTATAATCATCTGGATTAAGACAGACTCTTAAGTGAAACCTGTAAAGACAAGGTAACACCTTAGACAGTCCTTATATTGTATAAGTGTCTGTTTAGACAGGCTATGCAAACTGAAGAAAATGATGCGATTTGTGCCAGCCCTAAGTCTTTATTACTTTCTTCACTGCTGCAGCTCATTGTTTTATTTAGTGTCAGACCACAGGATAAGCCATGCAGTGAACAGTCAAAATGAAAGTGAGTAAAGTAAGATCACATTTCAGCAACTCATCATGAACTTGTGAGCCTCTAAAAATACAAAACTTGGCAGAAGTGGCTCAGGAAAGATGTATTATCTTAATTCTAACACTAGGCTGTTCAGTTATTTGGTACCTTCTAAACACCATGTAGTGTGTCTTATAGGAATCAAAAAAAAACCAAAAAAACAGTCTACTGGAGAGTAAAGGACAAATAGGTTATGCTGATTAATCTTTGACTGAGATCTCTCCTCACCTTACAGAATCAATCAGCTTTGAAAACCCTGCTGCATTTATTTCTTTTTATTTTTTTTTTTTCCTACCCACAAACACTGTTATTCTAACTAATATACATTGTGTTAGAATAAAAGCCTGAACCTGACTTTCCACACAGGGAAAACTACTGTGGCATTTTGAGATGTCTCCTTGAAAAAGGATTTACTTTGAAAATGCTTTTTAAAAAATTAGAGGTCGGGTTTCTCTGTACTTCCAGTCTGACATACACTGTCCAGTGGTACAACACACTCATAAATCCACTTCAGCTGGTCAACTGTAATAGGTTTACTACAGGCAGTAGTAAATCAGACCTTGGTAATTTTATTCTCAACATAATTAAAGGTTTTGTCTTTTCTTTTAATAACTGTGTTAGTAATGAAGAATTTAAAATACCTAATTCAGCAAGAGCTAGTTGATCAGAAAATATGTAGGAGTGGTGGATATATGTATGCCTGTAGAAAAGTACTTCAGTGTTTGCAGTCCAGAACATGAACCCAAATATGAAAATCCACTAGCTGAATGGCCCAAACCTATTTTCAGGTTCCTCCAAAGTGCTTAGTGGAGGAAAATCTGACATTACAGGGCACTGCAGTAGCTGGTCTTTGGAAACTCTGGTGATATCCTCAACTTTACAGAAATAAAGGCTATGCTCTTTTCTGTTAGCAGATCTATTATTGTGCACACTCTTCTTAATGAAGAACCATAACTAATTTGCCACCTACCGTGTTTATCATTTGATTGTATGCTATGACCATCAGACCTGCTTGTGATGGTAGTTGGTGAGGAATTAACTATAAATAAACTATATTACCTACAGAAGTTTCTTGGTTAATGTACAGATCACTAGGTAATGTAGACAACTCACTATGTTGCAAAGTAAACAAAGGTAAATATATTTAAATTTTTGCTTCTGTAGCAATGGGCTTGCCAAGTCAAGCAGCAGTCTTCAGCAGAAGCATTTCTACAGCAGAATGGTTTCTACACACTTTACTGTGATCAGAAATGATAGAGTGATTAACTTTGTAACCAAAAATGTGATGATTTTCATAAAGCCACCTATCTTAACATCTCCACATTTCCATCTTTTCATGATCTGGAACATTGCCTAGAGAGGGCTTCTTTCCAACTCCTTGACTTATTTCCTGTGCATAAAAAGGAACTGGGACAAAGCACCCTATTGATTATGAAGCTTGGAATAGAATATACAGTATCATATAAGGTTATGTTATAATACAGTACTGCTGGTAACAATTTCTTTGAGAACATTGCTTCAGTGCAACTGCAAGCTGTTTCATACAGCTCTGTTCAGAAGCATTTATGTTTCTTGGAATGAATCAGTTTCTAAATCATAGGTGACTGTGATTTCTGCTATTTGTATTTGTTCTAGCAGCAGTATTTTGAGGGGAGAAATTGCAAATTTGAAATATTATTTTGATAAACATAAAATTTCAAGAACTGGAGCCACAGAAGTGCATTGAAGAGCTAACTAGGAAACAGTTGAAATTTTATCTGCAAAGTGGTTGCTAAATGGAAATCAAAAAGGTCAGCTGCAATTCACTCTAGGGAATCAAGATTCACACGCTAAGTGATGCTGCAGGTGCTGTGCTGGACAGTGAAACACAACGTTTTTAATTAAATCATGAGTCTTCCTGGGGGAATATTACATTAAAATCCAAGTGCATCTGACATAATGGCAAGATCTACATTCCTGGTTCTTAGTCAAGCCATTATGTTAGTCTGCTGATTAGATCAGGAGGGAGGCATTTCAAATTACAGCAGCAGTTTTACAGAGTAGATAATTATGGCAAGTTATGAATGACAGAAATCACTGCCACTAGTTTTCTTTTTCCTTTTTCTTTTTTCCTTTTTCTCCTTTCTTGCCTCCCCTTCCTGTCTCTCTTACTCATATATATATTTTTTTTTCTTTTGATGGTTCCTAGTGTGAAAATATTATATAGCACTTTGATTACCATTTATTTTTTGTTAGTTTATTTATCAAACTGTGAGTCATAATTTGCTTGTAGCCATTGCTGAAATTTATCGGAAAAATGAAATCATTCTAGTCTACAACTGACTAGATTCTTTCACTGTTACGGCATCTGTCTTCAAAGTAGTGACCACAGAAACTACCTTGGCAGGAATTTCATTGGAGTGCAAGATCACATATACTACTGAATACTGCTTGTTATGTGATTACACTAGGATGAAAAAGTGTGAAGATCATTTTTGAGTTGTCAGAAGTATAATTACAAATTACAAGTAAGAGATTTAGTTTTAAAATATTTTCATTAATGCATACTAGAGAACCGTGTTTTCCCCCAAATTTTAGATCTGCTTATAAATCAGAAAAAGGCAATTAGTTGTTAAACAGACACCTGCACTGTTTATTTTGACACTCTCTCCAAGTCTGGCTAGCAAGATTATTTTCTTTTATATGTCTATTAACTAATGGTGAATTAGAGTTGATTTTGAGTTGGAGTATATATATCAGCCTCACCTAATTAGTTCATCTGGATTATTTCTACTGTGGTTTCAGATGTATTCATTAAGACTGTGTTCTCAGTGTTGTGAGAATAATAATATTTCTCTGTAGCCAGATTTAAATAAAAGAACATGAAGATTGGTTCAGTATGAATTGAATTTTTTAAAAACAAACAAAAAAAATTATCAATATCTTAAGCATATTTCAGTCAACGTGAAATATTTCCTTTGATCTCAAATAAAATTTTTTATAGAGAAGTCTACTTTTAAGATGAAACAAAAATTTGACTTAGTGCCCTTATTCAATGGCTCTGAAGATAAACGTCCATCAAGGATATAGAAGAGTCAGACTTGATTCTTTTTTTTCCTGTTAGGAAGGCTAAAGCCCATATTTTCAAGGGGTAGCACATCACCACTGACTGTATTCTGTAACATATTGATTCTTAATTAATAACAGGATTCAAATTCTACCTTCAAATGGTGAAAAAGTCTTTGAACTGTGACTTCAAACTGTGATGCGTTTTCATCAGCTGTTCTTTTTGAAATGGTTTTACTCTTTAGAAAAGCTTATACATGTTTTCCTACATATAGGGGGCACAAGCAAATGACAGAAAAATGTTTCTTTACTACATGGATAGTGGACTTGTCAAATTCCTTGGCAAAGGAGAGTGGAAATGCAAAAAACACCTTGCCTATGACTAAAGAGCTTGAAAGTACTTAAGAACAGAGCTCCACTGACATCTATTAAGTGAAGAAACTATATTCAAGTTTGGAGACCCCCTGTCCCTGAAATAACTTGAGGTTCAGGAGAGTATTGGGGGAAAATGTCTTGTATACTTACTCTTTTGTTACTTTTTCCTATGCTTTTGTATCTGGTCATTGTTGGAACAGAAGATTGGCCAGATAAACCATTTATCTGAAATGTACAGGAGTTATTTTCTTGAGAGTGCTAAAAAGAAAGTATTGCATATATAGAATGAACCAACTCTAACACGAAAGACAGAATACTCTTTTTACCCATGAATATTCTACAGCTTTGTGGGAAAGGCACCCTCCTAGAACATGTGCAATAGAAATGAGAATTTCTCTGTCCCTAATATAGAGGCACCACTGTATCGACTCCAATCTCCTCACTTTTTTCCACCATAATATTGTTTTGCATGGAGTCACTTCATGCTAACATTTTTTTTCTTCTATCTACTTTTTTAATAGCTTATCTTAAATGTTGTAGTTAGTAGAAATCATCTTATTCCCATGTTCTTTTCAGGAGAAAAAGTTAAGTACTGTTATACTAAAGATCAGATTTTAGTAAATGCATTTATATTTAAAACTGAAGAAAATTGAATTATTTATCAAAACAGTTTATAATAAATTTATTTTGAAGGACCAGATAGTGTAATGAAAACTGAAAAATCATCTAAAGGGAGCTGGGGACATGGAAATTAGGAAAGTAGAGGTAGAATGTAGAATGTTAAAATTCATATGGGGAAAATGCAATTTTACACAAGACAAATAGAAGGAAAGAAAAAACTAAACACAGTAATGTCAAAGGAGACATTCAGCAGACAGTAGCAGAAAATCAGAAATGATTTTGCAAGGCCACGCTTCTGCAAAAGCAAATTGAATGCCATTTTGCTATCTGTACATGGACACATCAAGCAGCATTGATGGAAAATAACAATCTCCCCAAAACAGAGAAAGTTCAGGGACCAGTGCAGAGGAGAAAAATAGTTCTACTGCTAGTGTGATTCCTAGACTTACTATGAAATCGTCTCAGCTGTTATGATGATTTTAAAATGCTAGCCATTGTAACTACATGTTTTTCCCTATATTTGCTAGAGTAAATTTTCAGTCAGCCAGTTTTATGTACTAGATCTCTAGGAGAAATAACTAGTGAGAGTCTTTGAGGCAAAATTCAGTGGAGAATTACTAAGGTACTCTTGCTGAAGGGGGTATTAAGAACAAGAAAGCATAGAACAGCTGATAGTCACTTTTCATTTAAATATATACATTATGTTCTTTTTGCTACTACCTATTCAAAATAATGACAAGCACCAGTTGAATTTGGTAATTTTGGTATTTATTGGATGATAATGTAAAAGTAATGTATATCACTTGCAAACAGATCATCATACTATTCAAAAATAGATTCTATTATCTATATTGATTTATGTAACTCCTTACTCTATTACTAGATTTGATTGATATAACTCTTTGTTATTTATGGATTTACATTTTATTCAGTATTTCCCTGCCAGAAAACCAGTGCCAAGAAGCAAAGAAAATGTCGCGGTGAAGTTGTTTGTATTTTTTTTCTCCATTTTCCACATTTCGGAATACATTCCGTCTGTTTCACGGTTCCATGAATAAAGCTCAATTATATGGTGTGAATGTCACTTGCATGGGAAAAGTGCCAGCACCAAAGACTAAAGTAGTGATGAAGTAATAAAAGAACTATATGAACCACTGATAAATGATCATATTTGAAAAAAACTTTGCTCTGAAAGGCCCTTGCAGGTCATTTTGAATATCTGTCCTGTTACAAAAATGAAACAATGGAAAACTGAGAGGACCTAAAGAACAAAATCTATATAGCTGTAGTTCATAAATTCTTTGGAGTCCAGCTGCAGACATGGTGTAGCTCTAAAGAGTTTTGGAAACAATTGCAGTCCTGTGTGCTCCAGTGTACTGATCAACAATGTTTAGATCGAGTCCTATTTACTACAGCAAGCTTTCAAAAAACTTCATTAAAAATTGGAATGATATTCTGACCCTAAATTGGCCAGATAAGAAATCCTGGAACTTATGTCCAAATCTGAGTCAACTGACTATGTCCAACACTGAGTCAATTCAGTGAGAACGTGAATTGTTTCCACACACCTTGTACTCAGGTAAAATCTGTAGAATGTGAGGTATGGAAAAAAATAAAAAAAATAAATAAAAAATTTAGTAAACTGATCCAATGTTATGTTTTATAAGTGTTCACAGGTATTTCAGAAATAGAACAAGCTTTTATAAAATACATTTTACTTTTGTTGATTTTACTATTTTTTTGAAGAAATATATTTATATCACTTACAATGCAACTTAAAAAAAAAAAAAAAGTGCAGTATAGATAGCCGATTTCAGGTACATATCTAGGGGCAAGTTTTCACACATGAGTTTCCCATTTAAGTTAGTGATAGTCTTTATTGTACATGTCCAAGAAAATTCAGACTGCCTGCAATACTCATGACATATACTGATACATCTGTAACAAGAAGACAAAGGTGTATTTAGTAGTTTCTTTGCAAGTAAATATGGTAGTGTACTATAAGACTCCAGTTCAGGATAATTGCTTCTCTTTATGCTAGTCTGGTAGTATAAAGAGATAACATGGCAACTTGTAATAGATATAGACTAAAAATAAAATGCCAAAAAAGAAAAGAAATTGCTTAAATCTTGAAACAGCATTAGACATAGTAGAATAATTTGATTTTAAATATTTTTTGAAATCCCAGAACAGTGTGTTCTTGATGTAAGATTTTTTTTAAGCACAATAAGTAGGTTGTAGGCTTTGCGTTGGAGATACCATATGGAAAGCACTAATTTAATGGGAAATGATAAGCTGTGAATTGGATTCATGATTCATGAGTCACAATGCACAATAACACATGCCAGTAATTTACTAAAATACAGTATGCATGTATGTATGTTCATTTACACATGTGCATATATATTGATTTCTTACTTGATTATTGTTACAATTCTGACATAAACATATGTTTTCTTTTTGCATAAGAAACAGCACTTACAACAGGACAACTGGATAGGTATTATTTTCAGTGCCCACAAGGAACAATTGTGAATAAGGATCATATATTTGTAATGGGGAAGATGCATAATCTCTATCTACACATGTTCATTGTGCAGATTATAAATACTTTCTAAGTACAACCATTGCAATACATTTTAGGAAGAGTCTTACAAGTAGAGATGTCAGAAGGCAGATCTGAGATGGAGGAGTTTTCTGCTGACATTTCTTGACAAATGGAAATAAATGTACCTCATTTAGAAAGCTAGAGGAAAGTATGCCAGTGCAACAATTTTGATTTTATTGATTTAAATTGATGCCTGATTTATGATGAAGTGTAATATCATTTCTCTACAACTAAAGGACAACAATATTGTGTCTAGTTTGTCCTGAATGTATAATTTACTATAATCAAAGTCCTTATTATAGAGTTCTGGAAAATGAAGTATAGATTAAGCCTGGGAAGCATTATTAAGCCTGGGAGGGGCTTTTTGTTTTCTGTGAAGAAGTAATAACTCATCATTGGTGAAGGGGTCTCTTTATGACTGAGTTCCAAGGTATAATGAATGATAGCTGAAAATATTTGTGAGAGATGGAGACTGCATGATGAATCACTAATGAAACCCAACTAGCTGCTAGGATGATTTCCCTTTAGTCATCACTCAGGGAATGGAAATCATGAGCGCTGAGAACATCACAACTGGATCTAGCACAATGGCAAGAGATAAAATGGTGATGGATCTTTAAGGTCAAAAAGGAAAGTAACAGAAGGGAATGAATCTTAGTAAAGGCTCTCTTTAATGAACCTATGCAGAACCAGTGGGTGATGGTACCATAGAACAAAATTAAATGGTCATATTTTGTGGTGATTCTGTGGTGAGTGGGAGTAACACTGTGAGAGTTACCAGTACAGAGGTGACTTGCTAGCAGAGAAAACAGCATTGTGATCAGAGGTGATATTGCAGCTAACAGTAGCAAGGAGTACCAGCGTGGCAAGAGGGGGTGGCTCATCACTGGGTTTATGATTAGAGGTTGTGGCAGTGAGAAATTCTGTTGAGATGACCCTAATGTTCCTCTACATTCACAGGCCTCATTTTATGATAAGAGATGTAGGAGAATCTGTCTTCTTGCATTCCTGAGCTTTGGGACTCTACTAAATTCTGAACAACAATAACAAAGTAGCTGAGTCACATGTATTGGAGAGATACAGCCTGGAGAAATATCTTTCAGTGCAGATAAATGCAAAGTGATAGACGCTGGGGAAAAAACATAGGGCAGACAACTTTGGAAATAATGGTCTTTGAGCTAGTGATTTCCATTCTGGAACAAAATCTTAGGATTATGGCAGACAGCTTGAAGAAAGCAGTAGCTTAGCATGCAGTCAGGAAAGCAAATGAAAAGCTAGATGTTATTAGGTAAAGAACAAAAAAGAAAGCATAATGCTCTGTTCTCACTTTCCTGTAGGCATCCACTTGCAGCCACTGACTGAAGTCAGAATGCTGTGCTAGATGGGCTCTTGGTCTGACCCAGCATGGTTGTTCTTCTGTTTTCATATGCTCACAGCTGGGCAAGGAAGTCAAATCAATGGTCTGTTGCCTACTGTTCTTCATGGCTGTGCTCTCCGATCAGAGAAATACTGGCTTGATTTATTTGTTTTCTCCAAATAGATCCTGTGCCACTTTTCCTTTTAATACCTTTGATTTTATCCACAGTCATGGATTTGGCAAGAAAGGAACTTGCTCTTCAAGGGATCACAGAGTTGCGGTTCTCCAGCCTGCTGGTGTCCACCACAAACTGACCTGATGGCTGCAACATCTGAAAGTGCTACAGAATTATTTCATTTTAGAAGTGGTTAACAGTATATGTTAAGAGCAAGTAACATTTCTAATAACTGAAACAGTGTTAAATAAGAAAATGATGAAAGCTAGCGCACTTTAGTTATTGTAACACCAAACAGAACTCTTGGCCTTTTTAACAGCCAACTTCCTTGAAACTCTGAATAGGCCTTAAATGAGAAATACATTTTAATAACACAGGAGCACAGTGTCTAGACAGGCAACTTTCTAATTGTCTTTTGCATAAATGAGTACAGTATTCATAAAAATATAGGTCAAAAGGAAATACATTATGGCCTAAAACATTTAGAACAGATTTATCTATCTAACTCAGAAAAGCTCAGCTAATAAATATGAGCAGTTTCAATGAGAGTCAATATTAATGATGATTGGCTTTGTCTGGATTTATGTTTCAAGTGTAATAGTCACACTTGTATGTATTCCTTGACATCTGACAAAGAGTGAGTGCAGGGTAAGAGGAGGAATTAATAAAATCGTATTCTATCTGTTGTTGTGAAACTTGCTGGGGCTTAATATTCCCCTATTGCTTTGTTGAATTTTTTTTTAAATTATACAATAGGCCCAAAAGTTATTGGGAAGAAAACTGATGGAAGAAATATATTTCAGCAGAACTGTGTAAGCTTCTTTCCTTGAGGAAACCAGGCCAAGAAACAGAGGTATTAGTCTGCCTCATTTTGAATGACCCTATGACATAGTGATTAATCCTTAAAAATGTAACAGATTATAGCAAAATCATAAGTACTCCTGTTCATAATCTTCTATTTGCACTTGTTAGATGGCATTTAACTTCATGAATAGTCACACAGAGTGTGGTAGCATCAGCTGTTAGTGTAAGATGCTGAGAATCTACCTTAATGAAAAAAGAAACATCATTCGCTGTAACCGGCTAAGCCATATCAATAAAATTAGATTTCAGGGGTGAAATCGTTGAACTACTGATGTAATTGGCAAAATTCCTGGAGATTTTTAATAGGGCCAGGATTGCACCATAGGAGTGTTGGCTCTCTTTGGTTTACAAATAAATCACAAAGCATTCCCATTCATGTTTGTGTTGGCTGCTCTAAGTATTTATGAACAGATTAGGACAGAAATTTTCTGGATTTGTAGCCTACAGAGTGTCTTTTTTTTTTTTCATTGATGATTCATTGTCTCTTTTTTATTGTGTGTGACTGACATCTTTTCTTGACTGGATAGATGTTTCTTCTTTACAGGAGACAAATAATTAATAAATAGCAAATAATCCACTTCTGACAAGAATTTGAAACATAGTATTAATTCACAAGTATTTCTTAAATAATTTTTCTCCAGTACAATTTAACAAGGAAAAAGTAAGATTCCATGAAGAGTAGCAAAATTTGAGTTTTTTATTCACAAACTTCATTTATAAGCTTATTCTCTTTGCCTGATTACTTCCAAAAATATGCAATACTCCCTCTCTGTTGTATTTTATTACTTATGTTGGTTCATAGCTTTCCATTTTACTGCTCAAATCTTGTATTTTTCTCATCTTTATGGGCTCACGCACATTTCCTGCTATTGCTTTACGTACTTGTAATATCTATGGACTCACACTATATGATCTCAATTTATCATTATTGTTTTCCTCTCTGTGATATATTATTGTAAATGTGGAAGATAAAGTCTCCACAGGAAACCTATATCTTATCTGTAAATTGAACTTCTTTGTTGCTTATAAGGTTCATATAATGCATTTTTGATAATACATAATTGATGTATCTAATAAATGTCCAAAGGTAACATTTTAATTTTACATGCCACTAGCATTTCCTGGCAGTCAGGTAGTAGGACAGATGAAGAAATATAAAATTTGATTTTCAAATGGCAGATAAGTAAATATAACATCTGATTGCTACTGATGTCTCTTCAGATACTAATACACGTTATCCTGTGGCTGGATTATTGCACTAAAGACATTGGCAGTGCTGTGTCCCTAGGGAGAATCTCCAGTGGTTTGAAACAGCCTCTGGTATCACATAGAGCATATGTCAGATACATGTCATCTCCCTCCTTGTGTTTCAGCTGACAGCAACAGTATATTTCATACCCTGAGAGGGTTTACAGCCCTTCTTCAATTTCATCTGAAGAAGGCACCATAACATTTGAATGGTAGGCGAGAAAGGTGAAAATGGTGCAGGCAGGTTGTTTCACGATGCCTTCTCATGCTCAGTCTCAGGTCTGCTTTTGCAGCAGAGGAGGTGGCAAGGCCCCAGTCGTCATGGTTGCTAGGGGTCTGCTTGCCTTTCATGGATGTCTCGAGCGACAGAATTCACCTTTCTGTGAAGAACGTGGAGTAAAATACACATGCTGCTGGGGGTGTAGGGATTGGTTTAATTAATTAAAAAAAAAGTCTGAATATAAATGTCAGCAACACAACCCTGACTATTTTTAAGGCAGCCAACTATATAGCACTGCGTATGTGGTGATAAAAAGAATGGTGGTTTTGTGGTTACAGCACTGGGATTTAGGATGCCTCTCTTCATTCTCTGCAGATTGCAGGCTTTTAAAGCAACTTTCTCATCATTCTGCTTGTAAAATTCAGATTGCAGAATTGCCCTGTCACCGAGGTGAGAGTACAAAGGCTCAATTCTGCCACTTCCAGGGGGAAAGGGGGTGGAACCATGGGGGCATTCCCAGCGCAATGGAACCTGGTTGTGGCAAAGAGCACTGGGGTCTGGCATTGCTGCCATGAGGCCTGCAAGGTGCCCAAGAGCGAGGCTGGCAGACACATATGTTCTGGGAAAGTCTCAGCCCTGGGGCCTGTGCTGCAGCCCCTTTGCCACATCCCAGGTCTCGTCCTCTCTAGGATGGTGGGTGGCCAAGTCAGTGTCCCTTCTTCTGGCTGCTTTGCTGGAAGTGAGACTCGGGTTTTATTCTGATATGACGTGAATGGGTTGCTCTTTGCAAAACAGTCGTAAAGTCTGCCTTGCTCTTGTCACTGTGTACCACTTTGCCCCATGTTTCTGTTCTGTGTATGGCAAGGCTCAGGGGTGCTTTTACTTGGGCATGGGGGAAGCCATTCCACTGTGAGGTAAAAGCCCTCTCAGACTTGTTCTCCCATGCACCTGGGGTGGGTGTAAGCCTCCTGGCACCAGAGCTGCCACCATGACCTCCAGATTAGGAACCCCATGGCTCCTTCTCTCCAGCAAGAGCAAGAGGAAGGGGTCGCCTCTACCCAAGAGTCAGGAGAACTGCCACAGCTCAGGTCACTGCTGTGGCTCTGCAACACTTGTGTTCAAAATGCCCCCACTGCTGCTGAGTCTCCATTATCTCTTTCTCCTTGGGACCCATCGGTTAGCTGGTCCGCGTCCATTAGGCACATGCTTTACTGATATCAAATAGCACAAGTATTTTACTCTGAGTGTCATGTAGTGCTAAGCCTTGCAAGTGTTTATTACATTTACACTGTTACTTTTACCAGCTAAGCCTGTCATCTCATCAAAGAATTTTCGACAAGACCTGTTTCCAGGAAACTACAGCAGTTATGCATTTAGGCACTTTTGAAAACATGCCAGGTATCTATCTGAGTCTTTGTGCACCATGTATCTTCAAAATCTGGCTTTCAGTTTCCTATTATAGTAGTTTCAGATCTATGGGAAGTATTTTTATCTTTTTATTGCTAACAATGAAGACCTCTAAGAATCTGTTAATTGAAAAACAAAATTAAACTATGATTTAAGTGCATCAGCATCATCTAATCACTATTTTTAATTATGGATAACCTGCTGGAAGACATTGTATTTTAGACATTTATTGCATTCTATTTATACAATATAAAAGACTGCTGAGGTAAATAATTAAAACAAAACAAAACACACACACACACCGCCTTATATCATTTTTAGCAAGGAGTTTGGACCTGCCTAAATACGGGTTGCTGTGTGGGTTGTCTCTGAACAAATGAAAAGGCAGCTTTGGGTCTCAAATATGTGTTTAGAAAAATAGCTATGAGAAGTATATAGTTCCTGGAGTTTACAGCATTTGTAATTTAGGTCAGACTGGACTAAATAGTCACTTTCAAGTTGTTTGACCACATAAATAACTTGAACTTGGTATGTGATTGTAGAGTAATAAGCCTTTATGTAACATTCAACTTCTTACTACTCTTGATCTTTTTCTTTAACTCCCATTCAGTGGCCAATGTGAGTGAATTGTAATTCAGTGTCTGCAAAATGTCTCTTTTTTAGTCTTGTTAGGCCAGACCAATATATATATGTATATATAAGAAAAATGCTGGTATTTAAGTTCAGAACTGCAAACTTGAAACCTGCTGTTCAGTCAGCACCTATTCTTCATGGTCTTTAAGAGCTACAGATTCCTCCCCCTTTAAAGTCTTTCAGAAGCTTCAGCATAGCTGCAGAAGTGTTCAGTAGGTTCAACAGTGTGGTAGGAGCACCATTTGCGACCCAGAAAATGTGTGCAGAAGGTTCCATTTAAGAACATGAGAAACTTACTGCACAGTCACAAGAAGGTGTTCAAAGCCAACTACACTTTTGAATACTGCTTTCTGCTAAAATGGAGCCCATAGACTTCTAAGTAATATCTTTGCAGTTACAGGTTACAGAGCTGGAGGATGTAAGAGGCAGTTTCACCCACATTCTGAAGTGGTTCAAACTCAGATTCCTCAGCTTCTAGGATATTTCGGGGGGGGGGGGGGGGGGGGGGGGAGGAAAAGCAAAACAAAAACAAAACAGCAAGATAGCAAGATTGTGCAGCCTGATGGTTAGGATGCTCAGTGAATGCTCATCTTTCCTGCCCTCGTCCCTTATGAAGCTTATATTATAGACAGTCATTGCATAAAATGCAGAAATAGACCTTAAAACAGGATTGGGACCCATAGCAACCTCACTTCCCCTCCGGCTGTGTCTGAAAAGAGATGAGTGAGTACTGTAAAAGAAAGGATCTCTTTTCCTTGTCTGGCAGGCCTGCATGTGCATTTCCTATCAGGGAACAAAGTGTGTAAATGTTAAAATCATTCTGTATGAACAGAAAAAAAGGTCTCCTATGCATTTCATGCGTGGACACTCCTTTATTTTTTTGTTAAGAATTAGTGTATTTTGCAATAGTATTTGCCTGAGAATCAGCTCTCTTTGAGTCCCTAGACCCTTAAAAAAGGATGAAAAAATGTTTCTTGTCCTTCAAGACTCTTCTAGTGAAAGGAATTCTTACCAGGCTTTATAAGTAACAGGTTCTCTGTTGTAGCACTAAATGTGCTTATTTTGTGTGTGGCTTTTTCTTGCAGCCAATGCCCATCTCGCCTGTAGCAGCTCACAGTCCTTGCCAAGGGGCCAATGGTATTTATACACTATATCCAAATACCTCCTGGGGATTTCATCATGCAAGACTTACATTACTTTCAACATAAATTAAGCATAAACCAGAGCTCTAGCTTTTTCTATTGATCGTGCACCAGCTGATTCAGAAGAAAGTTGTTGATAAGAGAGGTTTACAGCTCCTAAAATGAAGTGATGGTAAATTTGACTTTTCATTGCTGCTTTCCATTTTTGTTGTCTCAGATCTCCTTTGGAAAAGTCACATTTTTACCAAATAAAATCTATAAATCATTATTATTATTATTTTAACAGAGCTCCTGAGTGTATTTAAACCATATGGATACTGTGGATGAAAGATGTCAGGTTTGCAGTCAATTAGTTTTAATGTCTGCAAGTGCAACTACTTTTTAATTTCCATTATACAGTCCAGACTCTGCAAATTCCCATAGGGAGAACAAATCTATTTTAATCAATAGATAGAAAACAGCAAGAAAAATAATCTCCACATGCTGCTATTCCATCTGTTTAATTTCCTTTCTTAGGACACTTGAATGTCCATCCATGTAATCTTCCCCTTTAAATTCAGTCTCTATCTAGAGGTTTCTAAATAGTTCTGATATGGCTTTCATTTTGGGTTCACCATTTTCCTTTTTCTCTGTCTGTGCTCTGTAATAGCTCAAAACACTCCTTTTGCCTAACAATGCATTTTTAAACTTACTATTGTTCTCACTATGTGCTAGGTATGGACTCTCATCATTAGTTTGCTGGAGTCAACCTCTCTTCCTTCAGAAAGCACTTCCTAGAAATCACTTCTTCTAGCTGGCCTTATGTAGCTGATTTTCATCCTTCAGCAACTCACTGCTTGTGTCAGCAGAGACTATATTGTGGGAGAAAAGACTAAATATCCACATAAGACATGTGGAAAGGAAGCATCCAATATGGCAATGTTAGAATTTGACAACAGTAGTTTTTCTTTTTTCACTTATCTCCTTTTTCCACAGTGTCCATCATCATTTGTTTATCATTAGTTGGCTAATTTAGGGCTTAATTGTGCTTGAAGGGAGATTTTGGACAGAGGAGAGCTGGGAGTGTTAACATGATTCAGGGACAATCAATATATCCTGCATTTCTGTTGTGTATATTCTCAAAGCTTCCATTTTTAGAAAACGTATTGACCTGCTGGTGATGTTCTTCTGTAATTCTGCTGGAAAAAGTGGCAGCAACCATTGCTTTAAACAGTTCCCACCCCATTAGTCTTCATGTCAGGGAGTGGGGGATGCGTGTTGGTAGTTATAATCACTTTTGCAGTGCAAGGGAGGCAGAGTTGTAAAAGTAAGCACTTTTGTAATGCTGATAGGGAGAGGAGAGAAGAATTTCCCTGTGTACTCTGGTCAAACCCTTAATTCAACAATTCAGTTTCTGTCATTTAAATTTTGAATAAATACACTCTGAAATCACAGGTGAGGTAAGGGATG